GGTGCCAGGGCGAGTCTTGGGTGGCAAAACAAGGTGGCCAGGGATCTTTAATGCCACAGCAGGTCTTAGGGCTCCGCTGTAGCTGAAGACTGACTTTGAAGAGCCTGAAGCCCAGGACTGATGAGATCCAATTCCCATCTCAGACATAATTTCCTAAACAGCTCTTATTTGCAAGCATTGCCCCTCCTGCACCAGAGGCTTGAAAATGCAAAATACAAAACACAACAACAGATTTAGCGACTGGACACAAATAAGTTTCAAAGAATAAAGCACATAAGATACTTCCCTATTTTAATTAGAGAAGATAGCCAGAAACCACTAAGGTGGAAGAAAGAAGAGAATGTTTTTAATTAAGTGAGCAAAGACCAGCTCCCCAGAGACAAATATCCCTGACTTAACAATTCTGCTAGAACTGTTCCTTTTCATCTCTGCTAGAGCCAACAGAAGTTGCTGGCAAATACTTTTCATGTCCCATATGCCCTGCTGCCACATAACACCTGAGTAGGAGCTACACCAACTCCTGACTTGGCCATGAGGCTCACAGTGAAGAAGCGAGCCTCTGACAGATCCAGGAAGGACTGAGAGCACAGACTATCACCGTGGATGATGGCTGGAGGGGAGGCTATTTTTTCTAAGTAACAGTTCAACATTCCCAAAGGTCTTCGAACTGAGTGCTGAATTTCCCCATAACGTGAAGGGCGATTTCAGATCCCCGTGGCTCAGACTTCAACTATGAAACCTCCCATCTGTTCTGTCCCTATAGACACGACAGGCTGACTACTCAGAAAATGGTACTCTAAATATAATACAGGGATGCAATGAGACTGCACTACAATGTGATGGTTTCCAACCCAAATCCAATTACGAGCTTCTATATGGTGTATCCAGCTCACTGACCACACTTTAAGCCTATAAGCTACTCTAGCTGCAGATGAGCTTGATTGCTTCGATATATACACAAACTCCAATATAATTTCTGAACAATTATCTGCCTTCCAAATAAAATTCTAAAGCCCAACAAGTAGTATCATAATTAGGCTGGCTGTGGTCTTCACTACAGAAGCAAGCGCTTGAAATGTTACTACTTAAAGGCCAATGCTTCTATTAATGAAGCCACACATGAAACAGACTGGGAAGTTTTGCTTACTGCTAAAATCGCAAGATGTTGAACTGCCACATTTTAGAATAATTCGAATGTCTCCAGCCAGAATCAAAACCCAGAGCTGGGTTAGAAATTAGTCTTCTCTTTATGTACTGTATAATTGATTCCATTTATACAACATCCAGAAACAGGCAAAACTGATCTGTGCTGTTGGGGGTCCGGTCAGTGGCTGTGCGTCAGATGGGGATCTTTACAAAGGAACATCTAGAGACTGTTCAGCTTGGTTTCTTGATCCAGGTACATTTACACAGGTGTGTTTGCCTGCAACAATGCACCATGCTGTAAACTAACGATGTAGACACTGTTCTTTATATATAACTCAATAGAAAAGTTTTAAAACACTGGAGGGGAGGGGAAAACTTGGCTGCTCTCACAAAGACATTAATAGGTCAGAGCTTCTATCTTATGTAGCATTTGAAAGAGCACAGGTTTCACATGGGACAGAAACCGGATCAAGAGAAATAAGCTGCTTTTAAGAAGCCTGCTTGCCTTCTCTTTCATTTTTCTTAAAGATCTCAAGCTCCCTACCAGTGACGTGCCCAGCACAGTGGACACCCAGGGCAGATCGCTATTTTACAGTCCCTCCCCCATATGACAAAATTATTTCCAGCCATGATCATGTGATAATCAATCATCCTTATATTCCTGAATCATTCTTTAGTTTTAAAACAACCATTTAAAAAGAATGTCAATTTTAAAGTTACTTCTAAAATTCAGTGAAGTATTTCTTCTTTGAACTAAAATTGCACTTATCAAACATTATACCTAGGAGCTCCCCTCCTGCATTGTTTTACATTTTAATCACATAAAAACTCCAAATGGTCACACAGAGTAACAGAAGTTAAACTCCAGTTTAATTTCTTCATCTTAAACTGCACTATCTCTGTCTATTGAAAAGCTCTATTTAAACATAGAAATATGTTGTACTATATTCCTTGTGCCATGTACCAAGGGTTAGAGGCATGAACTGTGCCTAAAACAAACTCCAATTCTGACTGTTCGGAACTTAAGATGTGTACAGCTCAGTAAACACATGTCAGGGCCAACTGTATGACAGGGAGTTCTCCAAATTAATTTCCATGCATAATACAAGGTTTATTAAGTTTACAAAGTATGCTCATCTAAGTGTGTCTACATAAATGTAAATATATATTTATATATAATTATTACAAGCAGCAATTATTTAGAACTTAAAACAAACAAGAATTTCTCCAGGAAATATTTTACATCTGGCTTTGTTTAGAATTTCCCACACAGTGTGATAAGAGAAATGCTGACCTGCTGAAGTCCGTTTATTGTTTTTAGTCTCTATAGATGGGCACCACCTTGCATTGGTACCAGAAGAGGACCGTTCCCATCCCTAACCCATGGGAGCAGCTGCGGCCCAACCAGAAGCAAAAGAACCAGGTGAACAAAAGCCTGCCAAAGACACAAACGCAACGTCCAAGTTCAGACAAAAGCTTTTACGTTTCAAACAAAGGGAACAGCCCTTCGGTTCACACTGAGGGGAAAGTAGGGCTTGTCAACCTCAGCACTCCCTATTTGGAGCAAATAATCATAATCCTTTGTTGTGGGTTGTCCTGTGTGTTGTAGGGTGTTTAGTAGCATCCCTGGGCTCTACCCACTAGGTGATCTACCCGGACTCTCCACCCAAGAGGTGACAAATGTCCCCCAGGAGGCAAAATCAGCTCAAGCTGCAAGTCACTGGGTAGAGGTTAGAACGCCTCTGGGAGAGTGCAGTAAGTTCTCACTTAATGTTGCCCATAGGTTCTGTGACTCTGAGCAAAAGGATGTATAACAAAATCCACTTTAGCACCGGCTAATGAGATAAAAATGAGAGTTAAGTTTCTACAGCATCTCATCAACGTTATAACAAAACAACACTAAAAGAAAGGATGTTACTCCAGCATTTTCAAGGACCTGCTGTGGACAAGAAATCAGGTACAGTGATCGCCTGCGGGGGTGTCTTTTTTTCACTGTACCTTTATAATTCTTAACATGTACATCTATTTCTTATCCAAACACACAAATTTAAATACAAAAGGAAACTAAAGAGAAGGCAGGAACAATATTTAAGTGAGAAAGTATACCAATGACGAAGCGCCCGCAGCCCTCAAATTATTTTTCCTTTATTTTCTTATTTTCAAATATTTCCCTAATGAACAGAAAAAAAAAATTAACATCTTTCCAAACAGGTCATTCAAGCCCGTGGAAGATTTTCTATGCACATAGAAATAAACGGTCTATATAAAAAATATATTTGTTCCCTCCCTTGGAATCGCTTATCCTACACACAATCTTATCTGTCTGTGGTGTCTCGAGGTCAAAGCAGGGCGGGAGCAGCAGCAGCGGGGCACGCTCCCCCCGGAGCCGCACGGAGAGCCAGCCCCAATCCTGCAAAAGAGCTGGGGATGCCAAGACTGGAAACCTGGAGGAGTCTCTGTCCTGCCGTTTCTCATCCTGGGACCCTGACCAAATCACAGCCTCCCAAGGCGCCAGCGTTTATTCATCTAATGCCAGGCAGGGCTGCTGTGAGAACTCACTCATTCCAAACAGGGAGGTTTCCATACAAGCGTCAAACATTGTTACCTTTATTGCAGGTTTATACGAGTTCCAATTCTCAACAGAGATAACTGTCTGCGTTACCAACTGGAGTTTTATCACTGAAAACAGCCCTAGGGTTGTTCCAGCAGCATCCACAGCAGAGTGAGGAGGGCCTGGGAGAATCAGAAACAGCTGGGGGG